TGTTAACCATTGTCATAGGGCAACATTTGTAGTAACTGTTAAATGAGAAACTATTTTGTTCTGTAAGCCTTCATCTTAAGTGAGAATAACAGCACAACTGGAAGAGCGTACTCTATGTCATTGAACTGTGCATGTAGAAATTTTTGAAATGGTGTATCTTTGGCTATGTGTATTTTCACCAAAAAAAAGGTTGAGAAGTTAGAGGGTTGTCGTGTTGTGGGGTTGTTAACCAATGTCGTAAAACAATATGTGTACTACTGTTTCATGAGAAACTGTTCTGTAAGCCTTCACCTGAAGTACAATAAAAAAAAGAAAAAAAAAATCTCCAGAAAAGTATTATAAATTCATCCTCTTTCTAAAACACTGAAGAAAGAAAGTGAGATAAAGAAAAGATACATAAGATAATTATGACAGCATGATGGCTTAGTGACCAGGCAACAGTTCACTACTGGACAGCAGTTTATTGGTTTCTTTCAGCAGTGAAATCTCCTCCTCTTGGGCGGTTTGCACTGTGATGGCAGCTGCATACCTTTGGTGGTATCAGATATGCTATTTAACAAGGCACACATCATATCTCCCTCTAAGTGGTGAGGGTTTAGTATGTGAGCTGGCCTCTGAGTCTTCTTAAATTGATTCTCAAGCTCCAGAAAACCTTGATCTCCTGAGAGGATGGTAAAAGGAATTTGCTTGGGTAGTTGTTCATCTAGACGGCCAGCCTAAGTTGGAACAAATTGCATATGTTATAAAAATCAGCATTTCAGTTTTAAATAAAGTTAAAGCTATTTCAGAATGAACACTTATGTAGGAAGGTACATTAAGCTTGTCCCTAGCCCCCACAAAAGTTTGATATAAAGATCCCCTTCATAAATGAAATACACCACATTTAATAAAATATAACATGCCATCAATTACAAGATGAATTGTTTTATGTGCCACTAAGAAAGAAAGAAACAAAAAAAAACCTGCCAAAATGGGAATACAACAGGAGGTCCCCACATAAAGCTGCAACACCAACGGGCTACACAGTCAATGTAAAGGTAAATAAGAAATAAATATGTCATAGAGAAAAGGTAAGCAAGATAATTTACATGACTCTATACTGGCACTGAATAGACAGAAAAAAAATCTCTAGCGGTAGAAACCATAAACAGCATTTAACAGGTTTGCATAGGAAATTTACATTATCAGTGTGACTCAAAAACCCTCAAGCAGAGAATTTAATTTAAAGTGGGTCTCAGGATGGTAGTTTCTCAAGGTGACTGGCAGAAGCAGAAGCAAATGCAAATCCTGTCTAGGTCAACAGTGATTGTTCAAGGTGCCTCACAATTTAAGGTGTATTAAAATGTGAAAGGGTCTTATACAGATTAAAAACAGTGTCATCTCTTGATCATTCATCCCATAAACAGTAAAGGAGCTACTCTGTGCGGATGAAGGTCTGCTAGGAGGTGGGATACAGCAGTAAATAAGACGCCGTGGGCCACTGACCTCACAGGAGTCATAAACAGAATCAGATACAGAAAGTTATATACAAAAATATAGCACTGAAGAATGATCTACACACAGTTCCATAAAAATTCAAGTGGATAAAAATCCAAGCATAGAATCAGTGGGTCCTAGATTCGCATTAGATTTTGAATAAAACAGTGACTCACATGCATACATATGGCAAAATCAGCAGCATCTTTTCTTTTACTACAGCGAGGATGAAGGAAGAAGCATCCAATTCTGTTCAGGTAGTTAAAGATCTTACAGTTGAGTGGAGGTTTCCAATTAGTGTTTCCTCCTGTTATTTATTTAGAAAAAGCATAAATGACAGTTAAAATGGAGAGGAAAGATCAAAAGGCTAGATGTAACTGAAAACACTCAAGAAAAAACACATAGTACAAAAACATTTTTCTAGAGGGAAGGTACTAGAGAAGAATGTAAAAAAAACTCAGTTCTAGCCTAAGTATCACCATCTTGTTGCCTTAAAAAGCTTGGGAAAGTAGACCAATTTCCCTCAATCTGCTTACTCATCTGAAAACTCACAGCGATGTTAAGGAAAATCTAAAGTAATGGAAAATCAACATCTAATTTTAAAATCTAGACCTAAAACCTAGAGTGGGAAAAATGCTTTGAAATGGCATCGCTCTATATGATTGTAAGCACTAGTGGTTTTTACAAATGTGTCAAAGGCTGTTCAGTGGATAGAAATGATGGGCAGTCACCAAAATGGTAACTGCCAACTTATCCAGGTCAGTAGGCTTTCGATTGGAATCCCAACTCTTCTCTTTATATGCTGTTTTCTATCAGACATGAACTCTTATCAGATGCTCACTATACTGTTGTTGTTGCTGTATGCCCTTCAGGCGATTCCAACTCACAATGACCCCATGTGATGGAGCAGAACTGCCTTGTAGGGTTTCCTAGGCTGTAACCTTTATGGGAGTAAATCACCAGGTCTTTTCCCCTGCAGTGGCTGGTGGGTTCAAACTTCCAACCTTTCGGTTAGCAGCTGAGTGTGTAACCATTCCACCACCAGGGCTCCTCTCACTACCCAAAACCTCTGTAAATCAAAGAAGCCTCTTCCTCGGGTTCATTCAACTGTTTTTAGATGGAACTGCAGTTATGGATAACCAATAAAGATGAACTAAGAGACAGTTATGACATGCTGAAAATAACACTAGTCCTGTAGCCAAGAGGTCCGAGTTCAAAAGCTGTTTCTGCTATTTATTAGTTTTTTGGAAATATATAAGCTTCTTATATTTTAGAAGAGAGAAAACCATAATATTCAGTAACTATTTGTTAGTACCAAGCATAATGCCTGGCACACGGAAGTGCTGAATAAAAGCTTTTTAAATCTGCATCTAAAGATATACAAACTTTGGGCCACCAGATAGAGCTAATGTTTACCATACAGCAATGTAAAGAGAAAAAGATTCTAGCAGAATAGCTATAATGCACAGTAACAATATTCCAATTACATGCTATGTTCTATTCAGCAAGGTTCAAGAGGAGCCCCATTAAAGTGAACCATGTCTAAGGTGAGAAAAGGGGTTGTCTCAAATGTTTTCCTTATTAACCATACCTTGAAAGCCCCAAATAAACGTTCCTTGGTTTAGATGTCCTGGTAGATGGCCAAAAAAGTTTGACCAGTTATCAAAATCTACAAAGACTATATGAGTCATGGTTCGCAGGTAATCCAAATCTGGAAGCTCAACAGCTTCTTCATCTGATAAGAAAGAAACATTAACATGAGTTTAGTAAGAATTTTCTAAAAACATTTTTTCAGTCTAAAAGATATTAGAGGATATGCAAAAATATTAATCTTGCATGCTATTCATTTCTATCTAAACCTTTTCATGAAATCCAAAACATAAAAAACAATTGTGAATATTTCAGAAACTTGACTGTATGTCCTTTCTACAACTATGTGCCACTGATCTTGGGTTTTTGTTTTTCTATCATTTATAAAAAGAATTTTAAAAAAATTAATACACTGGAAGACCAAATTTTAAGACTAAAAAACCAAAAAATGTGCACCATCCATCAAGGTTACCAAGAATGTTCTTCCCCAACAAAAATCTGGCTCTTTCCCTAACCTAGACCACTAATTGATTAGCAGCCATCTGGTTCTGGGATTAAATACCCTAGATAGCAGAAACACATCTTTCTTGGATCTCTCAGATTCTTCTTTCATCTCTGACCATGCTCCAACTCTAATTCTCCCTCCCCTTTCCCTTATCTTCCACCTTGACAAGGCCTTAAACTTCCCAGTGGTAGCAATGCAATCTTAAAATGTTCAATTATTTTTAAAGTTAATAGCTTCTGCTTTGCCTAAGAGAGGCTCCCTCAAATATACTATTGCCATCCCCTCCCATTTCCTAGCCATCAAACTTCTTACATCGTTTCTCCAAGTTTTCAGTAACTTTACATTTAGATACTGCCATTACCTTCTATAGAACACAGCACAACATAAATTTCCAAAAAGTAATCAGGAGTAAAAGCACAAGACAACAAAAACATTGTTTGGAGTAGAGCCCAAAACTTCTGTAATAAGTGACTTAATCTTTTCTCACTTAAAATATGCCATGACAAAAGGTGGTGCGAGATCTACATATACTACAGAGCAAGCCTATATAATTCAATGATACGTAAAAATATCAGCCCAAACGTTCCACTCTAACATTGCATAACTCACCAAGAGTTAGTATCTATTCAAAATGATATAAATTAAAATTATACTCTTCTAAACAAAATAAAAACATTGCATTCTATTAGATGTACCTAATTCCATCATATGGAAGAAGAAAAGTCTAGAATAAGTGAAAACAAGGGGATCCATACCTCAATTTTCTCCTGGGTTTTTTGCTACCACTTTTAACTCTACTTCTAATGGCTTTATAAACTATAATAAAAGCTTTGCTTCCAAGTCAATTATAACAAATAAGCCCCAAATAAAAAAATAAAAATTCTTATGATTTACTTTTTAAAGGAACCAAGATATTGAAAGAAAAATAAAAACAAAAGTAACGTCCAGGATAATTTTCAAATCTCAATTTCAGAAAGACTTTCAACTTCCTTCGTATCTCAAAATTTCCATGCCTTCTGTAAAAGAAAAATGACATCTAAATAAATATTATTCAAAGCCAACATATACTCTTTGTCCCCTTGAGTTTAAGAGTGGCTGAATTAAGTAGTAGAAATACAAATCTCTGAAATGTATATTCTGCAGGTTATGATACTATCATTTTCTTTTTTTTTGCTTTAAAACTGGATCATTAGTCATTTTCATGATTACTTACTATAAACATGGTGGTCTACACCAAATAAAACATTTGTATAGACATTACAGTTGTAAAGCCATACCTATATTCTGACAGCTTAGGTCATTCTCAGCTCCTTTCTCCACGTCTGAATTTTTTGGATAGCTTACTGCCTGTTTCAGTTTTCTTTCTGTAGGAGAGGCACTGGCAGTAAATTTGTACAGACTTCCTTTTTCAGATCCAAAATTAGCCACACTGGGTTTCTGTAAGAAGCAATGTTTTCTATGGAAGTGCTGCTGAGCACTCTCAGGATCATGAAATGCTTTGGTGCAGGTGCCACACTTGATTACATAGTGCTGTTCCTCCTCATCCTTCTTTTCTTCTCTGTGCACTTGATGGATGTGAGTTTTCATGTCTGCTAAATTCTGTGCTGTTACAGAACACAAATTGCAGCGATACCACAGTTTACCTTTATCGAGCATGATTTGGAGACATCTACTATAATCTTCCTTTCTGTTGATTTTACAGATGTAACTCTCCCGGCAACCACAGGTTAACAGGTTGCTGGTTTCTAAAACTGGAAAATCATCCTCAGTTTTAATTGAAGTTTCAATTTTTTCTGACACAAACACATAATCAATGCTATGGCGCTCCTTATAATGAATCAAGAATGCTTCTTCCACATTAAAGACAAGATCACAAAGCCCACAGAAGTATTTAATCTTTATCTCATTGTCATGCTCATCTTGGCAATGTCGGTATAATGTTTCTATCTTGTGAAAAGTCTTTTTGCAACGGGCACAGCTGTATCTATGAAATTGGTGACTTGCCAAAGACATGCAGTGCTGTTTGACACATTCCTGGGAATCAAACATATCTTCACAAATCCGGCATTGCCATTTGCCCCTTGGAGGGTTGCTTGCTGGGGAATGATCAATAATAGTAATAGTTGAAGAAGGTTTCTTAGTAGAGTTAGTCCCCAGTGTTGTAGAGGATAACGGCAAAGTTTCACCTTCTACCTCTTCCGTCTCATAAAAATATCTGTGTCCATTATGAAATTCAGTTACATGTGCCATGATAGTCTCTTTTCTTATTAACTCCTTTTTGCATGTCCGACACCAGAAAAGAAAGTTATTTAAATGTGCTCCTCCATGAATCCGACTCATGTGTAAACGGATAACCCCTGAATCTTCACATACCTTTCCACAGACCATACACTTGTAACACATTGTGTTTGCTGAGAAAACATGCTTTTCTACTGCATCTTCACTTGGGAATCGTTGATGGCATTCACAAAACCAGGTTTTAATTGTTGACTTGTCTCTCTGGACACAAACCACAGCGCCACAGCTTTCATTCTCTAAATTCATCTTCTTTTTTGGAATGGTGTTGTAATCTTGTGTGCTAGATTCTTTAATAGACATAGTTCTTTTAAGTGATGAAAATTTTGATTTATCTAACAATAGATGCAAGTCCGAAGGAGGTTTGTTTCCTTGATTGCTGTGGCAATAAAGTAAAACTGATTCTTCCATTGAGGTAATGATTTGTACTTTGTGTCCTGAATTCTGCTTGTGATTCCGGGTACTAGCTTCATCCACAAAGACTTGGTTGCAATTTGGACAATAACCTCTTAATACGAATTTCTCTGCAACCTGGGCAATACTCTTCTCAGCTACAGCTACAGGACCAGCATTTCGACAACGAACTCTAAATTGGATTGAAAAACAAAAACTCTTTCATAAGTATTTTCCAAATATAGGATCTCTGCTTTTTATTGAGGAAATTATAAAATGGTCACTGTATAAATGAGCACTAAAAATACTTTTCAATTAAGATGTAGATGATATAATGATATTCTATGATCACAAAGTACCTGAGTATTACCTACAATTTATCTATTTCTAATCCAAATATACAAAAGAGTAAAACTAGAATCGAAAGATTAAAACTAGTATCAAATGTACTGATAGTCAAAAGGCAGAAACAACACAAGTACCATCAACAGATGAATGAATAAACAAAATGTGGTACACATATAATGAACCTTATGCAGCCATAAAAAGGAATGAAGTTCTGATACATACTACAATATAGATGAACCTTGAAGACATTAAGCTAAGTGAAACAAGCCAGATACAAAAGGATGACTGATGTATGATTCCACTTATATGAGGTACCTAGAAAAGGCAAATTCACAGAGGCAGAAAGAAGACAGAGGTTACCAAAGGTTGGGGGGAAGGGGAAATGGGGATGTACTGTTTAATGGGTATAGAGTTTGTTTGGGATGATAAAAAAAAAAAAGGTCTGGAAATAGAAGTGATGGTTACACAACACTGTGAATATACTTAATGCTACTGAATTGTATACTCAAAAATGATTAAAATAGTGAATTTTATGTTATGTATTTTTAACACAATAAAAATATAGGCCTGATTTCTTTTTCGTAAAAAATAAAAACAAAAATGCTTAAGTAAAAGAAAAAACAGAAAAATTAAACTTCATGAAAATTAAAAACTTCTGTGCTGCAAAGGGCACGAAGAAAATGAAAAGATGACCCACAGAACGGAAGAAAATATTTGCAAACTGTATATCTGACAAGGGTCTGGAACCCAAAATAAATAAACTTCTTACAACTAAACAAGTAAAAAAAAAAAAAAAAATTTCAAATAAAAAATGGAAAAAGGGCTTGAACAGACATTTCTCCAAAGAAGATACAGAAATGGCCAATAAGTACATGAAAAGATGCTCAACATCACTGGTCATTGTTGTTGTGTGCCGTCGGAGTGGAGATCCTATCATTAGGGAAATGCAAATCAAAACCATAATGAGATACCACTTCACACCCATATATTTTTATATAGGATGATTATGTTAAAAGACAGACAATTCAAGTGTTTGTAAGGATTGAAAACCTCATACACTGCTAATGGGAATGTGAAATGAATGATGAAGTCACTTTGGAAAACCATTTGGCAGTTTCTCAAAAAGTTAAACATGTGACTCAGTAATTTCAATTTCCTAGGTATACATATACTCAACAGAACTGGAGTAAAAAATGTTCATGGAAAGACTTGTACTTTTATGTTTACAGTGGCATTGTTCCTAGTAACCCTAAAGTGTAAACAACCCAAATGTCCATCAACTGATGAACTGATAAACAAAAAAGTTGGTATGTCCATAAAATAAAATATTATTCAAAAATAAAAATTAAGTACTGATATATGCTACAACATAAATTAACCTTGAAAACATTATGCTAAGTGAAAGAATCCAGTCACAAAAGGCCACATATGATTCTACTTATATAGAATGTCCAGAATAGGCAAATCCTATTAGATTAGTGGTTGTCAGGAGCTGGAGGAAGAGGCATATGGGGAATGACTACTAATGGGTACAGGATTTATTCTGGGGGTGATGAAAATGTTCTGGAATTAAATGGTGGTGATGGTTGCACAGCCTTGTGAATATACAAAAAATCACTGAATTATATACTTAAAAAGGATGAATTCTATGGTATGTGTATTCTGAGGTTTAGAACATATGTAGAATGAAAAATGTATGACAATAATAACACAAAGAACGAGGGGAGGGATTAAAATTAATGTTGCAAGGTTTTTACATTATCTCTGAAGTGGTATAATAATATTTGAAGGAGGGCCGTAATGAGTTAACAATGCTTATTTTAACCCCAGCACAAATATTTTTAAAAAATTATAGTTACTGTGTCCATAATGGAGATAAAATGGAATATTAAAAATATTCAATTAATTAAAAAGAAGGCAGGTAAAGAGGAAAAAGAAACTAATAGGAGCCCTGGTGGCACAGTGGTTAAGACACTGGGTGCGAACCAAAAGGCTGGCAGTTCAAATCCACCAGCTGCTCCTCGTAAACCCTATGGGGCAGTTCTACTATGGGGCAGTTCTACTCTGTCCTATAGGGTCACTGTGAGTTGGAATTGACTCGACAGTAGTGGTTTACCCCGAGAGTATGACCCCTGGACACCCTTTTAACTCCACACTGAAGTCACTGCTGAGGTTCACCCTTCAGCCAAAGATTAGAAAGGCCCATAAAACAAAATGAGACTAAATGAACACACCAGCCCAGGGGCAAGGAAAAGAAGGCAGGAGAGGACAGTCAAGCTGGTTACGGGGTACCCAAGGTCAAGAAGAGGAGAGCGTTGACATGTCATGGGGATGGCAACCAGTATCACAAAACAGTATGTGTATTGTCTTTAATGAGAAACTAATTTGCTCTGTAAACCTTCATCCAAAGCACAATAAAAAAAACCTAATAACAAATGTAAGTAATAGAAAATAAACAGTAGGATGGTAGGCTTAAACTCTATCATATTACTAATTACATTAAATGTAAATGTAAACAGTTCAATTAAAAAACTGATTGTCAAGCTGTACTGAAACTAAAGAAAGAAAAGAAAGCCCCACATGTAAGTTGTCTTTAAGAAACTCACTTAAATATAAACAGGTTAAAGTAAAATGATAGAAAATATAATGCAAATACTAATCACACGAAAGTGGAGTGCTATAACAGTATCAAACAAAATAGACTCCATGATGAAGCTACCAAAGACAAAGAGGAATACTAATACTAATAAAATGGTTAATACATCAGGAAAACATAAGGATTATAAATGTGTGCACACTCAGTAACACAGCTTCAACACTCAATAATAGAAAGAACAATTTTTGCATAAAAAAGCAGTAAGATATAAGAGGTGGATGCCACTATCAATATCCTTGAGCTAACTGATATTTAAAGAACACTCCACCAACAACAGAATACACATCCTTCTCATGTGCCCATGAAATATTCATCAAGACAAACCATATCACAAGCCATAAAAACAAACCTGGAAACTATACAAAGTATGGTGTCCATAATGGAATTAAATTAGAAATAATAAAAAATTCCTGAATATTTAGAAATTAACTCCCTAAATCTTTAGAAATTAGACAATAAACTTTTTTTAAATTTTATTTGGTTGTTATTGTTGAGACTATACACAGTAAAACATACATCAATTCAACCATTTCTACATGTACAATTCAGTGACATCGATTATATTCTTTTTTGAGTTGTTCAGTCATTGTCACCCTCCTTTTCTAAGTTGTAGACAGTATATTTCTAACCTATGAGTCAAAGAAGGAATCAAAAGGGAAAAAATATTTTTAACTGAATGAAAATGAAAACATAACTTATCAAAATCTGTGGGATATAGGCAAAGCAGTGCTTAGAGGGAAATTTAAATCTTTAAATGTTTATGTTAAAAAAGAAGGTACAAAACTCAATCTAAGCCTCTACCTTAAGAAGACAGAAAATTAAACTCGCAGTTTAAAGAACAGAAATCAATAAATTAAAAAATGGACCAACTACAGAGAATAATCCGTGAAACCAAACTCTGGTAGTTTTAAAGATCAACAAAAATTTATTTGAGATAGATTATAAAAATAAACATAAAGCTTTAAAAAAAAAAAACTTTTAGATTAGAAGAAAACAATATATATTCTTGAACTGATGATAGGCAAGGTTTCTCAGACAGGATACAGAAAGCATAACCATAAAAGAAAAACAAGACCAGTAAATTACATTTAATGGAATTAAAAGCTTCTGCTCATTAAAAGACATGTAATTAACAAAATGAATACATAAGTCATAGACTAGGAGAATATGTTCATAGTACATAGATCTGACAGATATACGAATGGCTCATAAACACATGAGAAAGTGCCCAACACATCATTGTTGACCAGGGAAATGCAAATTAGAGCCACCATGAGGCAAAAAAATAGCTAAAATGAAAATGACTGGCAACACCAAACTTTGGCAAGGATGTAGACCTATTAGAACTCTCATACCTTGGTAGTGGGAATGTAAACTAGTAGAACCATTTTGGAGAAGTATTTAGAATTTTTTTATACAGTAAATACACACCTATTCTTTGACCCAGTAATTCTACTCCTAGATGTTTACCCAAGAGAAATGAAAACACATAAAAAAATACACAAAAAAATACTTGTGTAAAATGTTTACAGCAGCTTTTATTCACAATAGCAAAAAAACTGTAAACCACCTAAATGTCTATCAGCATGAGAACAGATTAACGAATTGTGCTATAATCATACGACAGAACATTACTCACAAATAAAAAGGAACAATATACTACTATATGCAACAATATTGATGAATTTCACAGATATTATGCAGAACACTAAAGAGTAAACACTTCCATTTATATGAAGCAGGTAAAACTACTCTAAGGTGGAAAAAAAATTAGAATAATGATTGCTTTGGGGAGACATGATGGGAAATCACTGGGAAAAGACAAAAGGGAACTTTCTGTGGAGAGATTATACTCTACATTGTCATACAAGCGTGGGTTAAACAGCCATGTATCCAGCTGTCAAAATTCTAAAAGTTAAGACTTATACATTTCAATGAATTTAAATTTTATCTAAAAACAAAGAACTATAAAAAATAATAATCAGGAGGAATTAGAAGCATGGAGAGGTATAAATGAAACATAAATGTATTGCTTCTTAACCTTTTACTTTTATTTAGCACTGCATAGAATTCTGGTATTGCCTTAACTTCTTTCCTGCATGTACCTTTTCAGTGAATTTTCCCCTCCTTTTTAACATAAGAAGCTGTTGTTCATATTGCTTGTTCTCGCACTGTCTTAAAAATGAGGGCACTGTAAAAAGCTTGGATCTAATTTTAAAATGTCAGGAATTTTATACAGTTCACCAAAAAGGATATTCAAATGGCCAACAAGCACATGAAAGAATGTTCAATGTCATTAGCCATTCCAAACCAAAAACCAAACCCACTGCTGTAGAATCGATTCTGACTCATAGCGACCCTACAGGACAGAGTAGAACTGCCCCACAGGGTTTCCAAGGCTGTAAATCCTTACAGAAGCAGACTGTCACACCTTTCTCCCCTGGTGTGGCTGGTGGGTTCGAACCGCTAACCTTTTGGTTAGCAGCTGAGCGCTTTAACCACTGTGCTACCAGGGATCCTCATTAGCCATTACAGGATGCAAACCAAAACCACAATGATACCATCTCACACTCATTAGGATGGCAATGATCAAAAAAAATAGAAAACAACAGGTGTTGTGGAGGTTTGGAGAAACTGAAACCCTCATCCACTGCTGGTGGGAATATAAAATGAAACATAAATGGTATAGTCACTGTAGAGAACAGTTTGGCAATTTCTCAAAAAATAGAATATAGAACTACAATATAACCCAGCAATCCTAACTCTAGGTATATACCCAGAAGAAGTGAAAGCAGGAACACACACAGAAACCTGTACACCAATGCTCATAGCAGCACTTTTCACTATAGTCAAAAGGTAGAAACAACCTAAATGATAACTATGCAACAATAAAGAACAATGATGAATCCATGAAACATCTAACAACATGGATGAATCTGGAAGGCATTATGCTGAGCGAAATAAGTCAATCACAAAAGGACAAATACTGTATGAGACTACTATCATAAAAACACATGAAAAACACAGAACGAAACAATCTTTGATGGTTACAAGGGAAGGGAGGGGTGGGGAGGGAAAAACACTAATTAGACAGTAAATACATGGTAACTTTAGCGAAGGGTAAGACAGTACATAATACTGGCAAAGTCAGCACAGCTTGACCAGGACAAAGTCATGGAAGCTTCACAGATACATCCAAATACCCTGAAAGACCGAGCTACTGGGCTGAGGGCTGGGGACCATGGTCTCAGGGGACATCTAGATCAACTGGCCTAAGATAGCCTATAAAGAAAATGTTCTACATACAACTGTGTGGAGTAGCGACTAGGGTCTTAAATGCCTGTGAGCACCATGTAAGATACATCTACTGGTACCATCCCGGCTGGAACAAAGGAAAATGAAGAAGACCAAACACACAGGGAAAGATTAGTCCAAAGGACTAATGAACCACAATTACCACAACTTCACCATACTGAGCCCAGAACAACTAGATGGTGCCCAGTTACCACCACCAACTGCTCTGGCAGGGATCACAATAGAGGGTCCTGGTCAGAGCAGGAGAAAAATGTGTAACAAAATTCAAATTAAAAAAAGGGGGGGGCGGAGGGGGGGGGTCAGGCTTGTTGGTCTGACAGAGACTGGAGAAACTCCAAGAGTACGGTTCCCTGGACACCTTTTAACTCAGTACTGAAGTCACTCCTGAAGTTCACCCTTCAGCCAAAGATCAGACAGGTCTATAGGGAAAACAATAACACACGTGAGGAATGTGCTTCATAGTTTAATCATGTATACGGGACTAATGGGCACACCAGCCCAAAAGCAAAGATGAGAAGGCAGGAAGGAACAGGCAGACTGTATGAATGGAAACAGGGAACCTAGAGTGGAGAAGGGGAGAGTGTTGCAGGATTGGCAACCAATGTCACAAAACTGTTTGTGTATTAACTGTTTAAAGAGAAACTAATCTGTTCTGTAAATGTTCACCTAAACTACAGTAAGAATAAAAAAGAGATAACCTAAAAGTTCATCAATAGAATGGATAAACAAAATGTGGTATACGCATATAATGGAATATTATGCAGCTGTGAAGAGAAATGAAGTTCTGATGTGTGCCATAACCTGGATGAACCTTGAAAACATTTATGCTGCACAAAATGAGTTAGTTGCCAAAGGAAAAACACTGTATAATCTCACTTAAATGAAATAAATAAATATACAGAAAGCAAAAATTATTAATGGTTATCAAGGGTGGAGAGAAGGGGGGCAAGAGGAACTTTTGTTTGGGGAGCATTGAGTTTATGTTAATGGTGGTGGAATAATTTGGAAAAGATAGCAATAATGGTGGCACAACATGAAAAATGTTATTAATGTCATTGAATAGTGAATGTGGAAGTTGTACTGGTGAATATTTTGGTATATATGTTTCTACCACAATTAAAACAAAAAAAACGCCAGCAATTTTAATCTAGCTGTGTTGAAACCAAAGTGTTGTTTAGCACCGTGTAGCACTGTCATGGGTTTAGAAGGTACAAACGAGTGCAATCTCTGAAATTTTAAAATGACTATTACAGACAAGTTTGTTTTGTTTATTTGATTTGGTAGGGAGGTGGAGCAGACTGTTGGGGGAAGAATGAACTTAGTTATGTGGAAATTTAATGTTTACTGTGGAAAATATAACTATAAAAGCATAAAATGGTTAGAGCTGAGTGATGGGTACATGGGGGGGTCATTAAATTATTGTTTACATTATATAGTGGAAAATTTTCATAATAAAATAATAAAAATAAAAGGCAGAATCAAGATTTGAATTTATGAAGTCTAAGTCAGAACCAGAATTGTTAACCATTATACACTACCTCAGTATTTTTGAGAACATATTTTACTCAAAGGTTTATAAAAACAATTTTTCCATTTAAACAAATATTACTGTGTCATTTAATAGACTACAAACTTCTAATGTATTTTGAATAAATAACAGAAAAATAAGAGACCTAAGAGACATAGCATCTAAATGCAAAGTGCAGACCTTATCTGGATCATGATTCCAAAAAACCAACTGTAAAAAATACTTCATGAGATAATCAGAAATCTGGTAACTGTCTATTTGATAATATTAAGAAACTATTCGTTTTTTAAGGTGTGACAATGGCACTACAAACAGCCCTGTTTGGTGCAATGATTAAGTGCTCAGCTGCTAACTGAAAGGTTGGCAGTTCGAACCAACCCAGCTGCTCACAGGAGAAAGACCTGGTGATTTGCTTCCCTAAAGATTACAGCCAAGAAAACCCTATGAGGCAGTTCTATTCCATCACATGAGATCTCTAAGAGTTGGAAATCAACCCAAAGGGACCCTACGACAGCAACGGTACTACACTTACAACTTTTAAAAACAGAAAAGTCCTTACCATTTATATACAGATATTGAAGCACTTATAAATGAAATGATATGATGTCTATGATTTGCTTCAAAATAATAATTTGTAGAGAGTAGGAGTATAAATGACACATGATTGCCATGTGTTGATAAGTACTGAAGTTGGGTGAAAGGTACACTGGAGTTAATTATACTATTCCTCTACTTTTGTATATTGCCTGATAATTTCTATCTAACGAGGGGAAAAAAAAACTTATACTGGAATCTTCCTGATTACTTGATACATCTGGCCTTTCCTTGAGAATTAATCTTTTACAAGTATATGTTACTTTCCTTTTGGTTGACCTAAAGCCCAGGTTCTATCTTAACTCTTCCCTCTTCCCCTATACACATCCTCACAAACATATACAGAATTTAGAACTATTAACTTGTTTTATATTGACAGCAATATCGATATATCCACTTTTTCAACACCTCTTCTTTCATTATTTTCAGGCAAATGTACATTCACATTTTAAAAGGAATGAAACACAGAAGAGAATGTTGAATTGTTGAATCATCCTGCTGATGAACAGTTCATTAAGATTCCCTTACACGAAACAACCAGAAAGGAAAGAATGAGAATGTTCATGCACGGTAAAGAATGTAACCAATATCACTGAACAGATCTGTGTAGAAATTGATGAATGGGAACCTATACTGTGTGTAAACCTTCACTGAAAACACAATAAAATATTATTTAAAAAAAAGATTCCCTGACAGCCCAAGACTAGACCTATACAAACCTGAAATGGGCAGTGAGCTCCATGTGGGAACGAAGTGTCTGGCGGCAGGCCACACACTTGACTTGAAATGGAACATCTTTGCAGAGATCGATCAAAAGTTTCTTTGCCAAAGATGGAAATGATATTGGATGTGCTATTCCCTTGTCATCTGAAAAACAAAATAAACTAACTTACAAGGTCATTTGAGTATAAGATGACCCAACCTTCCTCCCCTTTGCCTTTCCCAACATCGTTTGGAGTAAGAAAAAGAAGATAGCTATTTATAAGATAAAAATCTACAGGAAGCCATTTTCTAACCCAATTGCAAAGGATGCTGAATTCACCCTTGAATTAAAATTTGATTTGTAAATGCAAACTTCCAACTTAATCCAACTTCCCAGACATCATGGTTATGCAAACATTCTCCTGAATAAATGTTTTTTTCTCAAAGTTTCTCTTTACTCCCCAGAGCAAGTAAACCTTCTTCTTAGATATAGAAAATACTGGGAATCTTAAAAAATAAGAAGAATTATTGATACATAAATGTTTCACTATTATGGTTCTCAAACTAACAAAAGGATAAGTAACCTCAAAAACGATGTGAGAAGTATGATAAATCAGCAAGATTAGTCTAATAATTTTCAACAAGAGTATTAACATACCACCCAGTTTAAAACTCTGAAGGAAATGATTCTTTCCAGACATATGCTTCAAACACTCATCCTTGCTGCTAAAAAGAAGGAAGCAATTTGGACACGCAAAACACTGAATAATCTGAGGAAGAAGGTTGTTTTTATGTCCATCATTTGCAGCTTCCTAAAATATAAGGCAAAGCTGTATTACAGACAACTAAAATCAATATATGATGCTTAAAATCAACTTTCAAAAATTCCTATTTATTATCTACTTGACATAGTCCACATCAATTTTTTAATTTTATTTATTTTGTTGCTGTTGTTGTTAATATACACAACAAAACAAACACCAGTTCAACAGTTTCTACATTAACAATTCAGTGACAATGATAACATCTTTCAAGCTGTGCAACCATTCTCATCCTCCTTTCCTGAGTTGTTTCTCCCTCATTAACATAAACTCACTGCCCTCTAAGTCCGTATCAGTTTTTAACATGAAAACTTTTTGTTCCCTGAGTGTAAATTGTGGAATTTTCTCATAATCGAGATAACATATGCGAAATTTTCTGATTTCTTCCCTCAAAAACAAATTATGACAATTTTCTGTAATATAGAAGTATATTTGCTTTCTATGTATTTTTTATTTTTTACAAATACACCCATATGTATTATATAAATGCATATATGATCACATCACATATACTTTTTCTAACGTTTTGCTTTGCTCCCTCTACCCTGCAAAAAAACCTATGTTTACAAATATATGCATTCGTCCATAAATTTATCCATGCTTATTAACAAAAATATACAGACATAAACATACAAGACGAACTGTCAATGTTTCATCAAATACTGTCATTTCAGAGACTCTTCTGTCTCAGTTTTCCTATTCCACCATAACTAACAGTAATCCCTAAAAATCAACTGTAATTCATTCTTCTCAGCAGTTGTGGGTCTACTGTGATTCAATCAAATATTCATTTCCAGTTTAATTGTCAATATAAACAACGATGCTGTACACATCCTTGAATATATACCCTCACCTATAGATCTTTTTCTCTCACTATCAGAAATGGCCTTGTTGAGGTGAAGGGTGTACATATTTGAATGTTACAAGATATTGTAAAATTGCTTTTCAAAAAGGCTCTAACAATTCACGTGTTCCCTAAGAATGAATGAGTCTGGTAGCAATATATGGGTCTTTTTCATTTTTGCCAATCTAACAGATGTTGTGATACTCATTGTTACTTTAAGTTGTATTTCCCTAATCTCTAATTCCGCAACATAATTAAGGGCATTTCTACAAAGCCAACAGCCAAAATCATCCTAAATGGATAAACTTTGAAAGCATTCCCCTTGAGAACGGGAACCAGACAAGGATGCCCTTTATCACCACTCTTATTCAACATTATGCTGGAGGTCCTAGCCAGAGCAATTAGGCTAGAAAAAGAAATAAAGGGCATCCAAATTTGTAAGGAAGAAGTAAAAGTTATCTCTATTTGCAGAGGATATGATCCTATACACAGAACACCCCAAAGAATCTTCAAGAAAACTACTGGAACTGATAAAAGATTTCAGCAAAGTATCAGGATACAACATAAACATACAAAAATCCATTGGATTCCTCTATACCAACAAAGAAAACTTCAAAGAGGAAATCACCAAATAAATCCAATTTACAATAGCCCCCCAAGAAGATAAAATACTTGGGAATAAATCTAACCAGAGATGTAAAAGACCTATAAAATGAAAACTACAAGACACTACTGTAAGAAACCAAAAGAGACCTGCATAAAGCGTGGAAAAACATATCTTACCTTGCTCATGGATAGGAAGACTCAACACTGTGAAAATGTCTATTCTACCCAAAGCAATCTACAGACACAATGCAATACCGATCCAAATTTTAATGGCATTTTTTTAATGAGATGGAGAAACAAATCACCAACTTCATGTGGAAAGGGAAGAGAACCTGGATAAGTAAAGCATCACTGAAGAATAAAAACAAAGTGGGAGGCCTCACACTACCACATTTTAGAATCTATTATACTGCCATGGTAGTCAAAATAGCCTGATACTGGTACAACAACAGATACATAGACCAATGGAACAGAATTGAGAATACAGACGTAAATTCATCCACCTATGAGCAGCTAGTGTTTGACAAACGCCCAGAGTCTGCTAATTGGGGAAAAGACAGTCTCTTTAACAAATGGTACTAGCATAACTGGATATCCATCTGCAAAAAAATGAAACAAGACCCATACCTCACACCATGCACAAAAACTAACTCAAAATGGATCAAAGACCTAAATATAAAATCGAAAACAATAAAGAT